GACCCAACCCATCAGAACAAAGCTGCCTTTTTCTAACTACAGCTGAGCTTGTAGCAGAGGGACCTCAGTCATACAGTCTTGAGCAACAATACTTGCAGAAATGTTAAACAAGTCTTACTGAAGCAGGAAAGCACTGTTTGCATATTTCATTCAACAATTTGCATCTATATTCAGATATAAGATTATATATACCAGGTTGCATACTTATCTCAAGAATGCCTGTTGCTTTGATTTTCCTAGGGAAATCTAATAATGAAAAAATTTATCTTCTTTCACACTGTAGCTGGGCCAAATAAGAATCAGTGCAAATATCCATTTTTTGTTCACTGACATCTTAGAATGACAGCTATAAAATTCCCCCCATCTATGAATTTTTGCAGAATGCACAGAGTGGTTGATGTTTCCTTTCAATTTTTTTTTTTAACACTCTTAGATTTTAATATTATTTTATTCCTCTGAATGCAAAGAAATAGGAATAGGTCTGTTTCTTAAGAGATTAAGGAAGCACTGACTTTACATTTTCCTGACTACACATTGCCACTGAGTGAAGAATATCTGCAGTGGACACCAGGTAATTCCTTTCAAGTCAGTAAATCTTGAGCTTTAGACTATCTAAACTCTCAATTCAGAGACTTAATGTGGATCCTCCTGACTGCTGTGCAGCTCTGTGCTAAAATCTCATTTACAAACTGAACTTTATTTCTGCTTTCTATCTCCTTTTCCCACCTGTCCTCTACTTATCAAACCACTTGGTCTGTCCTCCCTTCTTTCAAAAGTCATTGGTAAATGCCAGAGGTAAGTAATTACTAACATTCACACCTAACACCACAGCAGCCTAATACCAAAGAGTTTACAGGTGCGCTCTGACAAACCAATACAAATGTCATATGTGCAGAACACAAAGATACATGATCAGTCTCATCTGCTCTGCATCCTGGTGTATGAAATGTAAATAGACTCAACTGTCTCTCTGATACTGCTCACTTTTCATTCACTCAAACTCCATGGGAAATCTCATCCCTTGTCACATCATCAAACAGCAGCACTTTTCCTAAGGCAAGGCCTTCCACAAATATCCTGTGCCTACCATCACATAAACTGCTGATCCTCCAATGCAGACGGGCTGAGCTAGTCCTGTTTCCCCCCAGTTCATTTTAGGATCCCCACAGTGCTCCATGCCTCCTGCAGTACCTCAGATATCTTCCTTCCTCCAAGCTGCCCATCCCAATACACCCCAAGCACATGCCCTCAGCTGGTAATTGCCACAGGCTTTCCTCTTTCTGCTGCTTTTAGGAAGCAGAGCAAGAAGTGCTCCTGTTGTACGGGAAATTTGTCTTTCCAGTCCTTGCAGATCAGACTCCCAACAACCCCACATGAGGATGAGGTACACTATGGGAGATATGAGCAAGCTGAGGTCCAAATTGCTCTTGGTTTTAAGCCAGGCCTGACCATGTAGCTTGTGGGCTTAAAATGCCACAAGTGCCTTCAAGGAGATCTTGAGGATGTGATTTCAGAGTGGCTTGCAACAGGAATACAACAGGCAGAGCATTCACATCATCTTTACTACTGTCTGGGGTCATACTTAACATCCCAAGCTTTCTGCCATGCTGTGTGGAGCCAAGGAAAATGGGAGGTCAGTGGAAACTGCTACTACTCACTCAGAGACACACAGCAATGTTTTGCTCAATGGAGTGATGTCTGATCTCACATATGCAGGATATAACATAAGTATCTGCCAACCCACCATGGTAACATGCCCAGCTATTCCCCTAGCTTGGTTTATTCCACTTGCTCATTTTTTTGGCCACTCTTAAGCCTCACTTCATCAGACTGTTGCATAGAGACTGCTGAAACACACAATGAATGCAACATTCTAGCTTCTACTTCTTGCTTTCCTTTTCTTTGCATTTCCATTAAATAACTTTTGCATGCTTTTAAGCCCACCACAAATCAGTTACAACTGCCTGCAGACCTTGTTAACTCCTGCTTATCCCAGTTCCCTAAGTTTATTTAGCTTTCCGAGTAAACCTGGTCTAGTGAAAGGTGTCATGGGAGTTGGAATTAGATGATGCTTAAGGTCCTTTCAAAGCCAAACCATTCTGGGATTCTAGTGCTGCAGCTCGACAAATATCAGGAGGTGAAGGCAAATTACCCAAATGCATTGTCTGGGGACTAGTGCAACACAACCAAACAGCCTCCATCTTCCCCTCTTAAACACCTGTGCAAACAGACTTCAGTTGCTCCATTTCTACCTTCAAAGCTCCTATTTCCAAATGGAATAAAACATTACAAGAAGTTAGCTAAAGCAAATGCTTCACAGGGAGATATGGCAGCTGCATCACAGACAAGCCAGACAACTTTAGGAGTGGCTGTCACATTTGTGGCAATGCCTTCTGGAGATATAAATTCAGTTCCAAAAGCAACCTTAGCTACTACCAGGACCAAGGCCAGATGTTAAGTGGCAGCCAGGGAGATGTTGAAAGGAGTGCAGGACTTGATCCAGGAGCAACTGTTAAACACTGTGTGTGTCACAGACACACAAGGCTGGGAACACTTAGGAGCCTTCCCTTTACAATTTAGATGGTAAATCCTATTGCCTGCCAGCTGCAACAAAACAATCCTCTTAAAAAAGCAGCCAGGGCATTTTCAGGGCTGTTAAAAAAACCCAGAAATATTCTGGGAAGACATAATTTTTATTGTGGCAGAACACTGTGTTGGGAACACCTGTGGAATAAGAAAAAGATGAAGGAATGTAGCAACCACACACCCTTAAGAGCAGCCCTGGTTTGATATTCAGCAATTTCTTGAATGAAAGAATTTCTTTTGCTATCTGTGTTATCTAGAAAAATAAGAGCTGGCCAAAACCAAATGCTCTGGCTCTAAACTTAAAAACACTTTCAAACACAGGTCAAATAGAACCAGCAATGTGGGGAAAGGAAGACTAAGGACAAACCTGCATGATACAGCTCTGTTCCCAGAAACAGGAGCTGCTACCACTATCCATTTCTCTTCCAAAGACATTGGCACAACAAAAACAACTCAGAAGAACCCAAAAAATCTCCCTGGTATTGACTGACAGTGAGAAAGTACCAATGCAATGTGGAAAGTTACTCTAGACCAAATAAAAACTGAATTCAATGTGGACTAAAGGAACTCTATTTCAACCCTCTACAGTTGGGCTTATTCAGAATTAAAGTAGCTATAATAAGGTCTAATATAACTCAATTTTGGAGAAAATTGAGTAAAATAGAGGCCACACTGAATAGTTACTGTACAGAAAGGTAAGGACAGGCAGACAGAGTGAAATGTGGGTACCAAATCAGATCAAGCTTCCCCATTCTCCTGTGCAGAGAGTTCCTAAATGAATTTGCATTCCTTTGCATTACTTAACTTGATCCATCAAGCACAATCCTTATGTCAGGCACTGAGGGACACTGGATTCTGAGTGCTGTGCATGTCAGCAGGAGCAGTACCTGCAGCATTTCTATTTCCCATGGATGCCCAGCTGGGGGGGCTGAGTGCATTCACCCCACCTGGGCAATGATGGCTGACCAAGGGAGTCTCTGCCCTTGCCAAAAGGAAAGATGAAGGAAAAAGAACCACAAGGGATAAAATCCTTAAACTTCTCCAGTACTGAGGACTGCCTGCTAGATCCTGACCTGATCCTGACACAGAAGCAGGCACTGCTCACTGCTGTCACTCCTGGGCTAGGCATTCAGGAAAGCACAAAGAAGGTGATTAATTTTGCACATATAAGCTATACCATTAGACTTTGCACCCTGTGGGCTCCTGCTGCATTGGCATTGAAGCTGTAATCCATTACATCTGTCTGGGCACACACTTCCTCCACAAAGTGTGTATTTATAGCACTGTTAAAAATGTCAAGGACTTTCAGCTTCAGATTCTGACTTCAGCCTTCCCTGTTTAGATTTTCACTCACATAACTGCCTTAATTTCCATTTATATTGTTCCTATTAGTTTCAAGCCACATATATAGCCTTTACTAGCCTAGACTGACTAGCTCTGACTGCCTAAAAATCAGTAGAAACAACTGATTAAGGCAAGGACCTGGAAAAAGTCTTCAATTGAGGCTTGGAATCTCAGTCACTTCAGAGATTTGAGTGCTTGTGTGCCTTAACTCATTCTGTAGTTCCCAGGGGAAAAAAATTATGCGAAGCACAGTAAGGAACAACCTTTTACAGAGGCATCACCAGATGACCAGCTGAACCACAGCTCCTCTTCACTCTGAGGTTTGCCAAACCCCATGGCGAAGTCCTAGACCTGAGCAGCAAGATCGCCTCACAGGATGCAAAATACACACTAACACCAACTACAGACGGTATTCACTGCCCCTAAATTTCACCTTGAAGTGGCATCAACCTGCATTTTGATAAAATACACCAGGGATGTGGCTCAAGCTTCTGTGAAATCATGGACACCTGGCACCTTATTAATCTTTGATTTCACAGCAGTCTCCTTGTGCTGGCACCTTTTCTTCCTGACATCTCAGCTTTTGGAGAGTTAATGGTTGGAAAAACCAGCATTGTCAAACCTGACTGTTCTAATTTTCAATTTAAACCAGATTCAATCACTTCAGAATCAACCTGTTTCCTGTCTGCATTGATGCCTCTGTCCTGGACTTCAGATAATCAGTGCCACTAGGGCAAACATTTGGAATGGATTGCTATCAGACCAAAGCGAAAAAGAATTTAAAGATACACTACAAAACATGCCTTCACAAAACTCTTCCTCTTCTCTGAAGAGTCCAAGGAAACCTCCACCATCACTAACAATTCCCTCCCTGCAGGTCTCATCCTCCATGGACAGCATGGTCAGGAATGACCTGCAGCTCCTCATGATTATCAAAGCCTGTTTCACACACAACTCAGTCTCATCTGTGTCGAGTGGGCAGCTTCTGTTGAGATGCAGGTCACTGCAGCATGCATTGCAATAGCAGCAGCATCACAAGACAGCAAACACTGCAGCAGCTCAATACTCACACTCAGCAGGAGGCACTTGTTTTCTTTGATGGCACCTATGCAGCCCACGAAGCCAATGATCATGACAAACGTCCCTGTGACGATCAGCAGGTTGGCAGCTGACAGGGACGGGAAAGAAGAGGAGAGGGTGGCAAAGTTCCCTTGGGTGACAGCCAGCCAGATGCCTACACCAAGGATTCCACAGCCTCCCAACTGGGAAAACAAAGAGAAACAAAGAAACTCAGTTATTGTATCCAAGCAACCCCAGATATGAAACCATGTCAATGTGGCAGTGGAGCAAACCAGCAGTCACACCTGGTAAGAAATTATTTCTCCTTAGGACATTTTTTAGTAGGAGAAAGAAAAAAACAAATATAGAGAAGTCATCAGTAAGATGCAACACTCAAAAATTTTCATAGATTAAGTCCAAAACACGATCTCCAAATCAGGTCTTTTGCTCTCTAGTTAAAAAGTAGATGCTGAGTAAAGGATAAATTCCCAAAGGGTCAGCTCTTGAAGGGACTGAAAAAATCCCTGTCCTATTTAGAAGCCTTAGAGAACTGCCCAGAATGGCTGAAGCATTTTTGATTCCCCATTCTTCCCATCCCAGTAGCCTGTCTCTCACCCTGACACATGCCATAAGAAAACCTTGCCAGAGCAGCCCCCTGGCAGGACACATCATACTCCTTAGTTCCTAAGGTCAAGCCTCTCCTGGGAGCAAGAGAGCATTTAGAGTGTAAGGCAAAGAGGATTTTGCATCATTATCGAGTCACACAGCACAGCATCACTTAGGCTTCTTTCTTTCCTGCTCTCCCTTTAAAATAACCAATTTTTATTGAGTTTATAATTGCATTTTATTATCCAAATCAATTAAAGGCTTGGAATGAAATTGTGTTCACAGAGTAGTAAGCCAGACATATGCAGGAGCATATCCACTAAATACCTGCATAAAGTGGATGAACATAAGGCAGCTCATGAACCAGGGAAGGAAAAAGACAGAGCTAATCCTGGGGCAGAGCTAAACCTCAGAAATGAAACACAGAGGAGAAACACAAAAGCCAAAGCAATTTCTTATACTAATTACTAAGGTTGTCTCTTAATGCCACTGAATTCCTCCCCAAATAACAGGCAATAAAGGCAGCTGTGTTTTAAGGCAGCATTCCTCAGCCCAGCTGCAAACCAGTCTTTTTTGTTCAGAGCTAAGGAATCAAACTACACCTCACATCCGTGTACCTCAGCTGGACCAACCTGTGTGTCTCCACTGAGAGAAAGCAAACTCCAAGGCACAGGGACTCAAAGTCCCTCATTTAGGAGTCTTTGTATATTCCAGGCATCCCCACATCACTGTATTCAACCTTGCACAAGTACCCTCTTATAAGTGCCCTGGAAGGACAGTCCATGCCCTGACCTGGCACACTGGAAATACCTCCCCTCTATTCCCACTTACAGAGCATGATCATTAACACTATCCAAAATTATTAAAGAACAACCAAGGGAGTGGATGGGGAAGAATACCCACAGAAGGTAACCCACGGAAAATCATTTAGGCTAAGGGAGGGGATATAAAGAAAAGCTATCATCATGGCCCAAGGGAAAAAAAAAAAGGAGAATCATAATATAGGAACAAATTCCCTGAAGAGGAAATAAAACTCTGAAGGTCTACTGAACAGAATAACATTGAAGGAGATGTATAAATACCTAAGCTAAAACCAAACTGGTCAGAGTGCTGAAATACAGTCAGGAATAGCACTAAACTGGCTGAGGAATGGGATGAAAAGCAGAAGTGCACTTCTGCCTCTTCAGCTTGGTGGATGTTAGCCTCAAGATCAGCCTCAGACCTGCAGGCACGGGGAGGCTGCTCAAACAGCCCAATTAAGCCTAATGAAGGCAGATGCCCAAGAGCAGCAGAGCCATGACCTTGCAATACATTTAGCTCTTATCTTTAGTTCTTTGTTCTGAAGCAACTCAACAGCACCAATAAGAGGCAGTTTATTTCATCACCTTTCATGATCCCCCTGCTGCTACACTGCTTTGAGTGGTACCAACACCCACAACCATCACTTGTATTGCAGGAGGTGGGTCCCACTGAGGATGCTGCAAAGGCAAGACCTGCTTGCCTGCTCCTCCATCATCCACTAAATTCTTATTGATGCACAATGCTTAATGCTTGAGACATTGTTGCCTGGATGTTTGAATTCAGCATCTTCTGACTCCAAACTCATTCTTGTTTGCAAAAACTGGAAATTCACCAGTGGTGTGAAACATCAGAAAACCAGGACACAGTTCATGCAAAATGCCATGACTGGGGCTACAGCCATTTAGATCAGGGATGAATATTTCAGATCACCAATTCAGCAGGAGTATCTCACTACACTGCCCTTGATTCAGAGATGCACTGCTCTCCAGCAGCTCATTACATTCCTATTTCTGAAGAGCTAATGCACAGCTCTTCCTTAGGTTGACTGACCAAATTTGAAATGCACAAAGGAATCCTTTGAACATTAAACCACCCAGCTCAAACTGGATTTCATAATGTCAGCCCACATTACTGAAGACTGCTCCACTTTTGTTCAGCTCTGTTCCTTTTCCCACAGAATATCTACTCAGAGTCCCCAAATAAGTTTACTAAGCTGTCACACCAGGCACACCCAGGAAACAGAGGCTGTCCTTCGCTCTAGACTTGACTGCTCTTTGAAGCTCCCCCGTTCCCCAGGGTGCAAAGCACACCTGCAAGTCTCCATCCAGAGGCCTTTTAACACTCAAGCATCTGGTTAGGGAAATGTTTAAAGAACCAGCACTCACCAAGACAGCCACAGGAGCCTTTCCAACAATAGCCAAATGTTTCGTATTCCAGAACATTCAGAAAGCTGCTCCTCAACCCCTCTGCCCTCCATTCTGAACTGAACTGGACTGTAATTCCCAGTCTGAGACCCTGGCATTAGAGGCATCACATTTACTTATTCTGGATCAGAGCCAAGAGAAAACAGTAGTAGTTGGCTCTATGCTGCATGTCTGTTTTTACTTCCTCCTCTTGTTATCTAAGGCATGGATAATTTTAAATGGTTATTTACGATGTTCCCCCTCCTCCACTTTTTCTCTCCTTACCCCCACCCCCAACCCCCAGCCCTTTTTTTGTGTCAAAGAATATCAGAAACATAGTGAGGAAATGAAAAGTTTTGACAGTTTTCTGGGCTTGCTGATATGTAAAATTAAACAAAACCAAACCCATTAACAGGGGTAGTTTTGACAATGTGGGGGCTTCTGCACAAACAGTGATAATGTCATGGTTAAAAGAGAAACCATTAAGACAAAAACATAAGAGAGAAGTCTACAGCTTGAACCTGATCTACTGGCAGCCAAATGAGAGTATGTATTAACTCCATTTGGTGAGTGCAGAATTGACTTTAAATTAAAAAATGTCTCCTTCAAAGATGCCAGGCTACTGACAATAGCATTTTTTTAAATTCCCTTGTGAAATGTTTAACACATTATTTGCCTAATTTTTCATGACAAGCTGCTCTCTCTTGTAAGCAAGGCAGCTCATGGCAAAACCTGAAATAAAATGCAGTTCTCTCTAATATTTTTTTCCCAATTGATGCTGCCTTTGCCTTTTTTTTTTTTTTTAAAGTCTTTTATTCTAAGGTCAAAACAGTGAGACACCAGAAGGAATACTGTCCCAGCCCTAAAGACATAGGATATTTGAGTCAGGTGTTTGCTCCAGGAAAGACGTCAGTGTAAATCTTGAAAGGGCTGTTTGGTGCATTTGAGCCTGAGCTGCAGAACTGTGAGGAAAGGACAGAAGCAGTGAGTTCTTTGCAAGCCCTGGCCTTTGCAATTGCCTGTGGAAGCAGCAGAATATTCTGCTCAAGACAAATTCCTCACAAATTTATAGAGCAGAGTCAAGCAGTACAGCAGGTGTCTTACTCTAAAAGCAGAGATTATCTGTCTCTTCTTCCCCAGGAGATACACAGAGTCATGCACTTGCTCTCTTGGCAAAAAAGCTGCCTATGGAATCAGATCCTCCAAACTGTTCTAATGGGCTAGAAAATAAATTATTCAGGCTTCAGTGCCTACATTTAAAATTGATCTTACAGTATGATAATCAAAGTAATCCCAAACAGCCCTGGATATATGCTTGTTGGTGAAGAAAATTATTCTGAAGTTACAGCTACACACTTAAAATACTGCAGGAGAAATTGACGCATTGTTCATGATAATGGTGCTGGCATCTTTAAGTGGGGTTTTTTATTGGTTTTATTACATGGAAAATGCATCTAATTGAGGTTTCTCATATTGTATCTGATTAGGATCTACTCATCACACTTCCTCTTTTAGCCAACAAAAAAAAAAAAGAAAAAAACCACCAAAAAACCCTTGTGTGTTAAGAAATCCACTGATAACAGAATCCAAGTGGAAGATATGACCAGTTTCCTTGGAGGGTTTTTCTCCCCCAGTCTTTACATATTTAAACTAGAAGGGCTCTCTCAATCCCACTTGCATGAATATGCCTCCTCTGCCAAGTATGGAGTGAAAGTATACAGTGAAAAAAACCAGCATCTAAGTATCAACAGTAGTGATGTTATCATTATCCTGCAAATGTTCTTGTAATATCAGGCACACTTAAATTACTGCTGCTTTCAGCTAGACACAGAGAGGGGGTGGAAATGGAATATGTATGTATATTGACAGGATCAAATGAATCAAGATTCTCATATGGAGAAGCAGGAGCATGGGTGTAAGTACAGAGGCTGCAGTGCTCCACCTAAACCCCTGTGAATGACCTGTCCCTGCAGCTGTTGCCCATCCAGGAGGGAGTGGCCACTTCTGGAATACTGTTAACATCTTATTGCAAAAGTTCATACCTTCTTGGTGATTTCTCATGGACAGCTCCTCACAGCACAGCCAACAAACTCCAGCTCTCTTCCCAACCAGCTAACCCACTCTTTTATAGCACTCATCCTCACTGGACACAGCTGTGGCCTGTTAAGGGCAGGCCTGTTTCTAATCTTTGGTAATTAGCACAGCTGCAGCTCCTCAGGGGTGAGATTAGCTTCTGCACTACATTTCCTTACGTTCCATCCCCCCACAGAATACACCTTCAAACACACTGGCCACCTGTGGAAAGCACCTTCCAGAGGCAGCTCCTGGCCATTGCTGAAGCCCTCGTAGCCATCCACCTGCACCACGCCACCACTGCTGGTGCACAGTAGGAG